GGGTATTAAGTGGTTCTATCTCCGAGGAATTCATTCATCAGTAAACGGATTTAGGTCGCGTCCCAATATCTACTAACACTTGTCTATCGTAAGATTACATATCACATGGTCTTACAAGAAACCCGAATAAAGACCTACGTATCAGACACTCACTATAACACAAAACCTCACCTAGGTAGACATGATTTAATATCTATCTTGTACAGCAGTAGCGGGGTCTTGCTCTTTAATACCTACCACCAAGAGAACAACGTGTTTTGCCGCCTCAAATCGCCTTAAAGATCAAAGCGAGCTTGACTGACACTCATAAATTTAAACTCCTTTTTTATGTCTTCTTGAAAACAACAGGCACCCTTCGTACGTCGAGGAGGAAGTTCCAAAAATTTCAACAAACACGTTTTTTTCTGTTTTATGTTCTTCACGCCGCAGGAGGATGCTGTACCCGTCTGTCAGCCTCCCTGCTGCAGTCGAGAGTGTCGAGTAGACATTACACGTGATTGGGTCCAAGCGATTGCGGAAGACGGATTATCAGTGATTGGCACGTGAGGCCGGGTCAGCGTTTTTTACGCGCGTGTGTGTATACTTTTTATGATCTGGCTGCTGAAGCTTTGGACACATGTTGTTGGCCAAGGAACGTGCTGTTTGGCTGTAAAATGGAGATAGACAGAATCACATGGTCCTGTTAATGGTCGTCGACACGGGGGCGTACCGCGGACCAGTGACTAAGGTTAGTTGACATGTGTTGGGTACAAGCGGCGCACTTCTACCATTGGACAGTGCCGGGGTGACATATAACTCCTCCAGCAACCGTACATACCGCGGACTATTAACACCATTCTCTATTTATCACCAGAAAGGTAAGTAAAAATAACGATATTATGATACTCGTATCCCTGTTTTTTTGTCGCGCCGCTCAAACACATATTAAACACAACTGTAAGATACATATCATATATGATACTGTTGGTTATTTTCATTACATCTGGTATTTGTAGCATTTCATATAAAGAAACATATTTTTCAGAGATATCGTTTTTATCGTAAGTTAAAAAAGTGAAATGAAATAGGAATCCATTGTGTAGGCCAGAAGTAATATCATATATCACGTTTTTTCCCCTACACTCGGAAACAATATCAGATGCTTTATAAAAGAATGTGTAGATGTTACCCAGCGCACTTAAAAGTCTGCGCTCGCGTAATATCTTAGATCTATATTGGTATTTAGTAACCATTTTAATGATTCACGAGGCTTAATTTCACAGTGTGACTATTATATCAATGTCTGTACTTCAATAGTGAACGTCTGGATCGGTAAGTCGATGTGGCAACAACACACGATCACTACAACATAATAGTTATAATCAGGTGGGTTATAAAAATATTATGTAAAAGTAATATTGTAATAAGTTATATACCATGTGTTGATATAACATATTTGTATTAGCTGTTTATTTAGAGTGCATTTCCTTTTTCAACGTCTGTGTTGTGGCTCAGTATCAAAAAGTCATTTTAAATTGTTTTGACATTTACTGTGGACACTTTTCTGTGATAATTTCTTATACCGTCGAATTGGTTAACGTAACGTTACAAAATGACGCCGTTTTTTAATTATGGGATGAAAACATAAAACAGCTTGTTTCATAGATGTTTAAATTATAGTCATCTGTACTGTAATGAGTTAAAGATCACGTGATAATATAAAGATATTATGTGAAAGTTACATTGTAATGAGTTACAGATCACGTGATAATATAAAGATATTATGTTAAAGTTACATTGTAATGAGTTACAGATCACGTGATAATATAAAGATATTATGTTAAAGTTACATTGTAATGAGTTACAGATCACGTGATAATATAAAGATATTATGTCATAGTTACATTTGAATGAGTTACAGATCACGTGATAATATAAAGATATTATGTTAAAGTTACATTGAAATGAGTTACAGATCACGTGATAATATAAAGATATTATGTCATAGTTACATTTGAATGAGTTACAGATCACGTGATAATATAAAGATATTATGTCATAGTTACATTGAAATGAGTTACAGATCACGTGATAATATAAAGATATTATGTCATAGTTACATTGAAATGAGTTACAGATCACGTGATAATATAAAGATATTATGTCATAGTTACATTTGAATGAGTTACAGATCACGTGATAATATAAAGATATTATGTCATAGTTACATTTGAATGAGTTACAGATCACGTGATAATATAAAGATATTATGTTATAGTTACATTTTAATGAGTTACAGATCACGTGATAATATAAAGATATTTTGTTATAGTTACATTGTAATGAGTAACAGATCACGTGATATTATTAAGATATTATGTTATAGTTACATTTTAATGAGTTACAGATCGCGTGATAATATAAAGATATCATATTATAGTTACATTGTAATGAGTTACAGATCACGTGATAATATAAAGATATTATGTTATAGTTACATTGTAATGAGTTACAGATCACGTGATAATATAAAGATATTATGTTATAGTTACATTTTATTGAGTTACAGATCACGTGATATTATTAAGATATTATGTTATAGTTACATTTTAATGAGTTACAGATCGCGGGATATTATTAAGTTATCATTTAATATGATATAGTAATGATGAAATATAAAGACGTATGTGTTTTGATAAAGATTTAATGTTAAAGTGATTTCGTAACGATAAGTTATACATTAAATGACTGTAAATGAATGAAGCATCACTGATAGATGAAGAGTCTTCAAAAATATGATCGTCCAATATTTCGCAATAAGAGTCAAAGATGACTGATACACCAAACGGGTTTCAATTGATGATATTAGAAATTACTTAGATAAAGATATTTAAATGATATCAATCGGATAATCAATATAAATCTTCATAAACATCTTAAACATGAGTAATATCCAGCACATAAAACGTATATCTGGTCATGGGGTTCGTGTGTTTTTTATAATCCGTATCATTATGACTGAGAACAATACGGCAGGGTGTAGGAAGTTATCATCATAAAACCCTCAGACAGGAGCTGCCTCCCAACAGGACGTCCGGAACCTGAGTCCTGTCTACCAGGTTATACCATTGCAAGAAAGATTTTAAGACAAAATAATACAATTTGTATTAAATAAAGAAATTCCACTGCGCCTCTGTTTACCGGTGTATATGTTCCTTAACGCCCCGTTGACAGAAATCGGTGTTATCGATCTCCATATTGCATTGATGGTTTTTCAAGGTGATCATTATTCCGCTCAGTGAAAACTTTAAAAAGCAAAATTTAAGGAAATTTCATTAAATAAAAATTGGATAGAAAATACTGATTGGTTCGTTTATAATGGAAATCATGTCGCCTTTCCCTCTTTTTTAAAAAAAATCGTTTTGGTTGTCTTGTCAGATCTGATAGTTGACTTGGGAGTCAGACGATGTGGCTTTGGAAAGCTTCTGACAGGATTAGTGTGTGTTACATGGGGTGCTGAGCGGTATAAATGTTACCCCCTATAGAGAACACACATTTCCGCGTTGTATCAACTCCGGAGACAACGCTAAGATAGCACCCTACATGTGTTTGTTTAGATGCTAGTTTCCCACAGATCACCGATCATTCATGGGTTATCAGTGAACGCTTAAGTTTCAAAAATAATGTTGTTTTTTTTCCTGAAACACATTTTATTTGCTTTTAATATTCTTTTTTTTTCAGAAGTAAGTACTGTACGTACTCGGATAAGTAATTCATAAACATCTGTAGGTTTTTATCCTAAGTTTTCCCACGCCAAACAAAGGAATTCAGTAATAGTAAGTACATGTAGTGGTATTATGCCGTTAGACTACATGTATATGCCGTTTGACTACATGTATATATGCCGTTTGAGTACATGTGTATATGCCGTTTGAGTACATGTATATATGCCGTTTGACTACATGTGTATATGCCGTTTGAGTACATGTGTATATGCCGTTTGACTACATGTATATATGCCGTTTGACTACATGTTTATGTGCCGTTTGACTACATGTGTATATGCCGTTTGAGTACATGTGTATATGCCGTTTGAGTATATGTTTATGTGCCGTTTGAGTACATGTATATGCCGTTTGAGTACATGTATATATGCCGTTTGACTACATATGTATATGCAGGTTGACATTAATTAATGTTCTCATTTTCTGTTATTTACACAGGCAGACGTTATAGTTGAAACCATAAACAACAACTTCAGGTTGCCCGTTCTTCATTAGAAGATGTTGAATTCGGTGTCAGGAATGCTCACATGATGTTCTGCCGAAATGACATATAGAAATTTTGGACAACAGGATCGTTACAGAAATTTACCACCATTATTGATTGCTCTAATACTGGACGTATTTTTTTGTCCCGAGACCTTTTCCTTTTCGCCTTTTGCAGAAGTTTGGACACACGTTGGAAATTGGTACCGCTAGGTCGTACAGCTACCTTCTCTGACTTTTGAAATGTACGCCAGCGGAGATGAAAGGATGTGAAGATAATGTATGGAACATCACAGCAACCGGAGGGAACAAAACATCATCAAAATGTAAACACGGTGTGACTGCTAACCCTCATACCTTCCTAGCACACAAAGAGAGACACACATAACAATCATGACTTGAACTGTTAATTAACGTATTACCGACACAGAGGCTATAGGGAATACCACTAACGAGCCTGGTCGGATTGTTTGCCCCGATGTTCATCGAAAACATATAATTCGTTTCTGATGTTTAAGAGCGAGATCAGTGGATACCTTGTTATAGTGTATTTATGTATCTCGGAGAACTACCATCAACCTGTAAATTACGGCTTTTACAAAGATGTGTTAATGTAAGTTAAACAAATATCCATCTGTGATCTCTTATTATCATGAAGACTAGTAACAGGGAGCGGTCATTATTGGCAATCAAAACAAACATCGGTATTTCCGGTCAGTAATTAATTGATGGTTCCGCTGCCAAACAGGTCATATGAATACGAGAGAGGAACCTGCTTCGACGTCAACCTCGGAGCAGACGATCACCACAACATCTGTTGAGATTTCAGAGGAGAATACTGGCGGGAAAACTTGCCGATCGAAACGTGTCGTCTGCGTGATAGAGAAGTTGAATATGATCTTTCTGGTCTTTTTCGTCTGCTACCTCTCCTGGACCATTCCTGCTAATTATGGATTATTTACGTCAAATGAGTCTGGAGTCGACGTTAATGGAACTATAGGAAACTCTAAAGGCCAGGTAAGCGTTTAGATTTCATTTCAAAAGAATAAACATCTTTTTTTGTCAAACTCTTTATAGGAAAAATTAATATTTTTTCTTTTGAATAGTCTCGGATGACGGTGACATTCACGAGAATTGCTCGCAACATGTTTGTAGGATTTCCCTTGCTACCATAAATGCAATTTCCACGAAATCTAGATAATAATTTACTTCAAAGAATATCAGAATCTTGGCAGAAATTTAGGCTGATACTATCTTGGAAAACCCACAGGCGACGAAGTATCAAAAGGTCTAGATTTTGATGAATTCAGGATACTTCCCAATCTCAGACAAACGTTTCCAAAAATAAACAGTATTTATCAATTCTATTAATTTAAAGTCATTCTGATCCTACAGCCTATACACTGTTGTATTTTGTAAGCTTTTATATAAATCAATTACCTGTTTAGTTATATTTTGTTCTTAAAGTAATTCTTTATTAGTAAAAGGCAACAACTACGGATGAGATACGAGAGACATCGTATTGACTTTGTTGGTTTTCAAATGATGTGGAAGTATTTGTTGGAGAAATTAAACTTTGTATACATATAACGAAATATATATATACAGAGAAAAGTTTACTGCTACTGCGAGCTTCGCAATGCGATAAATGCGTAAGTTAGATGGCCGGTAAACAATGTTCAATAATATACTCCTAAATTGTTGTGGGAATTCATTATTTCCTTGTTAAAATGTCTCCATGTTATTGTTTTAGTGCATCTTCCGTTCTGTAAACGCGTCTCCTTGTTAAGTTGTCTCCTCGTTTCTTGTTGTGTTTCCTCGGTTCCTGTCATTTATCTGTGTGTCTCACGTATTGTTGTTATTTCGTCTCCTTGGTTCCCGTTGTTGTCATGTTTCTGTCATTTGTCTGTTTCTTCTATGTTAATGCTGTTGCTACGTCTCCTTGGTTCCTGTCGTTTTGGTGTCTCCTCTGTTCCTGTCATTTGTCTATGTCTTCCATGTTAATGCTGTTGCTGCGTCTCCTTGGTTCCCGTCGTTTTGGTGTCTCCTCGGTTCCTGTCATTTGTCTATGTCTTCCATGTTAATGCTGTTGCTACGTCTCCTTGGTTCCCGTTGTTTTTGGTGTCTCCTCGGTTCTTGTCATTTGTCCGTGTCTTCTTGTTAATGCTGTTGCTATGTCTCATTGGTTCCCGTTGTTTTGGTGTCTCCTCGGATCCTGTCAGTTGTCTGTGTCTTCCATGTTAATGCTGTTGCTGCGTCTCCTTGTTTCCCGTTGTTTTGGTGTCTCCTCGGTTCCTGTCATTTGTCTGTTTCTTCCATGTTAATGCTGTTGCTATGTCTCACTAGTTTCGTATCTCCCCACTTTTGGAATGATACTATCTCATTTTCGGTTTGTTTCTTTTTCTCACTTCCTTGATTTCCGAAGTTTTTGGTTTCTGTTTTGTTTCGGCATGATGATTCCGATGTTGTCTTTGCATGTAGGCTTTGTCATGTATTTGTCCCTTGCTCTCTGGGTTGACGTTGCTTTTTCCTAGTTTATTGTACTTGTACAGACAATGCAATTCTGGATAGAATCATTCAAACCAATAAGACTGATTTATATAAATGTTTCTTAATTTTAAAAAAAACATCGTTTATATTCCATAATTAGTATTTGCTCTTTTTCTCATTCATACTAAATTGAATCGTCAAACAGCAATGAATCAAATACTCGTATTAATGTCTGGTAATATTATGATAGCAACATTGTAAGGTTTCAATTAGGGTTTATGTTTCAGGTATGCAAGCTTTTCACTATGTGCAGAAACAACATGGAAACACAACCAAATATGTTGATAACTGCTTAACACACCAAAAATTACAGATTTGTTAATCTTGATTGTCTGCTCAAGAATTACTCAAAATGAAAGTTCATTTTCCAGTTTAAATACACTTCATGGAAATATTTTGAAAGTGAAATCATGAGAAAGACAAGACTGGAACTAAGAGAAATCCGGACTATTACATACACTGCACAATCACAAAGCGCAGCTCTACGTATATCTAGTAATGGTATATAAATATGATTGTTGACAGTAATGGTATATTGATCAATAACGCATGTGTCCAACACTTACTACAAAGACAGCCGCAGACGCCAACACGACGGATACAGTCTATAATGAGTCGAGATACATGTATTTACCACATAATTCTCATAACTAAGTGCATGGATTATGTCCTACTGTATCACGGAATTCTTCATGGCGACATGAAAAAATATCAATTCGTTAAAACAGACGGTATCTGTTTTTCAACGCTTTCGAATATTTTTTTATTATTCAAGTAATAATATTTAATATTAATTGATTTACTCACTCAGTAATGAATACACGTACATTTCTTGTATGAAAAAATGAGTTTTTCTGGTTTGTGATAAGGGACTTTTGTATTTAATTGACTTAATAAGGAACCTTTTCTAAGTTCATTCACGCGCTTTGAATCAGTAGCAATATGTGAGGCATCGATAACGTATATCAGGAAGAAAAAATTCCGAGAAAGAGAGAGCCTGTAACCGAAAAGATTTTTGATGCTCCGATCTTAAAATAAAGTTACGATAACCCGTGCACAACTAAACGCACGTGGAATTGTCATAGTTTGAGAAGATTATGGAAAAGATGAGGCCATCCGTACATAGGTCGCCATGATAGGGTCTAAGAATCTCTCAGGCATTTGACTTCAAAGGTTCGAGAAATACCTCGGGGAACATTGAGGCTACTGATAACAAAAGTATTTATTGTGTGTTTAGGAGTTTTCTATGTCTCCTTGACATCTGTCGATAGGCGCAAGACCATCTCTCCACACAGACAACATTTTCAACCTGCGGGCTGTGATAACCTACCAAAGTAAAAATAACAAGCGTCTACCGCACTCCGAATTCACCATTAGTTTTTCTCTCCAAGGCTTGAACATTTCACTGGCAGATTATAAAGATCTTTTCTGAAATCATTTACAAGAAGCATGGCAACGACCGGAAGATAAATCGAAAGCTTGTGACACACGAACATACAGGTCGGCGGCTCTGACAGTGAAATACTTCATAGTAATCCATCAGAAGATGAAAGAAATGTTTGTTATTCAAACTCGTGCCTTGTAGCTTGTCCTTTGTAGTAAGGTTTTGTTTCCGAATATCATACATTATGAGGTATTCCGAGACCCTACACTAAAATTCCGATTCCGTTTTCTGTCTATTTCAATATATCACTACGTGTTCGAGACCTCGTTATCACAGAGCCTTGCGTTACACCAGGTGGCTTGGAGATGTTATTTCCAATCTAATACTGGTTATGTTTTAAGGTAAAACCATCAGGATCTGTCAAATTCAGTGTCCATATCAGAACACCATATATTCTGAAACACAGATAATTATAAAGTTACAGAGCTTGTTTTTGTTTAATGAGACACAAATTATGACAGAACTTTATACTAGTATAGTATTTGCTATTTTATAACGTATTCTATGAACAAACCATGACCTTCAACAAAAAATGTGAATCAACAACTTGTTCTGCAATTATGCACTACAATTACCGGAAATGACGAAGCAAATGTCTGCCTTCAGATCAGGGTGTTTGTTCCGCTCCAGTTCTGGATTTGCCATCTGTACTTTCGACTTGTGTGGTAAAGTGAAAGCCACGATGATACAAAGATGTCAAGCTTATCATTTCTGACTAGATATGCTTGTGCATCTGTTAGTAGGGTGGTTTTACAGATAACTGTCGAGAATTTAATGCTAATTTATGAACCAATAGAGAAGAACTAACAATCGATCAAGCGAAAAACATCACTATTTTCTCTACAGTTGAAATTACAGCGACACGATTATTAAACCATTTGATTCTATGCTATGTAAAGGTAGTTTCTACGTACGATTTTATAACGATTTCAAGGGTATAAAGCGCTGACCTTGTATTACTCTTAGCCTTCCGTGTTATTTTGAATGAGACCCCATGCTATTATGTAGATAACATGGGCTTATTTAAGTGTGTGTGTGTGTGTGAGGGTGTGTGTGTGGATGTGTGAGAAAATATTGAAATAATAACCGGAAATAGACGAAAATGGTTGACCAGTAAGATATTTCGAATCATATTTGGTTGAGTTTATCTCACTAACTAATCTGCATTTTATCATTTGGACTGATTGTGTAGACGCTATCGGGTCCAGTAGAATTTCCGAATGAAAGAAACGTATCTCCAGGGAGCTGGTAATGATAGACAGGCACTCAACGGCCCGGACACAATCTGGGATTCAGATCATACCAGTGGCCGTTTGGGAATCAAAGTTGCACCGATCATCCACTATACGATGCTATCACGTAGTTCCGTCGAACAGAATCCTACACTGAAATGCCGAAAGTGTACAATCATATCTGTTCTTACATTAGAGATAGGCAAACATGTACTTTGAAATTTCATTAATTTACAATTCCAAATGATACATTGACAACAATTTACCGAATTTGATTGTCCGACTTCATAGTTTGATGGCCTGAATTTAATAACACTTGTCTTATTGAACAAAACATCACGCACATATGGTAAAAAGGAAAGAACTTGGATAAAAGGCAAATCAAACAATTTCGTGTACTTTTCGAAGAAAGGTGAACGTCGGTACAAATATGTTGTTGTGAAATATACTGAAGTGTGTTCTGAAAAAAAACCCCGTGCAAAACAAAACAAAATATACAAAAGAGGAAATTATTAAAATTATATCAACTTTCTAGTTAAAATATATTCGTTAATATTGGCAATAATGTCCTCCAATAGGCTAGTGGAATTATTTTTGGGAACAAACTGTACCCGTCTCTTGGATGACTCGTTTTTGTTTTCATACGAGTCTTAATTTATGGATGAGCTCATCAAAACTGGTCACAAAGACCTTGTCCTGAAGTCCTTCAATTTCACTGTAAATATATTGCTGATGTCTTCAAATAACAAGAAATTCAATGACAAGAAAATTTATAGAAAAGCATATAATAT